ACAAATTATCAAAAAAACATACGAGCATACAGTGCCGTCTTTGACCTATTGGAGGCCCTGGGTATATTAGGATAATGGGGCCCCTATGACTTCCGTTTGGTAATTTAACAGGAACAACGAACTTTTTATTTGATCTGATGAGGGGGCCCCCTATCGATCGCGGGGCCCTGGGCACTCGCCCAAACTGCCCACTGGGGAAGATGGGTCTGGGAGCATAGAAGGAGTAAAATTATATTTTAAGTATTATTCATACTTAAAATATAATTCATTATCTCAAATAAAATTCTTTAGTGATAAAAATCAGGGAGGAATCACTCGAGAACGCTTGTATGGAAAAAACACTGCCCGCCTCCCCCCTTAATATAAAAGCTGTAAAATCAAAAATACTTTCTATTGTCACTGTCTATAAAAAAAACGCCAGTGGTGGTATAAAATAATAAAGGTTCCTTGTTGACTACGGATCCCCTTAAGTAATTTTTACATCAGCTTTGAAAAAGACTCACTTGACACCATCACAGATTACTAAATACACATATTTATTGACAATTTATATGTTTAACTAGGGATGCAACACAATATCGAGAAATCTCTAATATCGGCAATAAAAATGTTATATAATATTTATGTCGATATGTAAAATTATTATAAAGGAGCGGTCTTCTTCTAATACAGGTAACTTAACTTAAAAGAAGAAGAGCCACACCATGTAAACTTTGATGTAGAAGAATAATAAAGATTTTTTTTGTATTTTGTAAAATTCATGGATCAAAAAGTAAATTCTATATTTTTTTTTTAGCTACTATTTCTAGCTAAATCTGATTAAAAAAAATTTTGTAATACTATAACCATTGTTTCAAACTTGTAGGAGCCTAAAGCCATAATATATTTATGGCTTTTGAAGTTTACTGTTTTGAAGCTAAAAGCTCAACTGTGAATTCTTTTTGGTAGGAGCTTGATGTGAGTGAGTTGTAGATTTTAAATTGGCTGGGAGACGTAAAAAAATGATCTAGGTACCTACATTTCATTTGTTTTGCTAATTTATTGCAAAACTTTACAGTTATGTTGTCAAAATAAAAGCTATAGCTACATGTCGGATATCGATATTTATCTGACTTCGATATAAATGTCAATAAATAAATCGATATTGTAAAAAAATGCATCCCTACTTATTACAGAGATAAAGATTAGGCACTAAAAATATCGATAATATCGCGTTAGCATGTTCAATATGTCGGATATCGATATATATATATGTATATTGATAGACATTTCATAAAACTTTTCATCCCTATGTATAAATACAAATTATTGCTTCTCTAGGAGCTGATTCTTTCGTTATTATATCATATTATATATAGATTTCTATAAGGTTCTGTATATATTTTTTTTAATTTTAATAGAACATTATAAAACTTACACTCAACTCTTCATAATATCTGCCGTAAAGAAAATTTGCAATCTTCCAAATTTAATATTAGCTTATTATGTTATTGAAAAACCATTTCTCTCGTCGTCGACACAATACAGACACAAACAATGTTTATTTAATTAAATCTAAGATCGACTGTTCCAGTGAACAGAACCTTCCAGAGCACTCCCCCAAATAAACGATGTTAATTATCGGCTCTGATTAACTTTGAACTAATAACTTAATTTGTTACATTTCATTTGAATTAATATCCTTCATGTGTGAAACTGTATGAATGCAGGTTGACGTTGTTAATTTAAAATGCCAATTGATTTCATAATCGTCAAAGGATGTTGTACTTGTTTAGAAATAACATTTTCGCTGACGTCAATATTTTGTTTATTTTATTAATTAACTGAAGAAAGAAAGAAAGAAAGAAAACTGTTTTTATTGTTGACAGCACATAACATACACATAAAATACAAAAATACATTAAACTTATAGTAAAACGAAACGAACAAGTAAAATCAACAAACAATAAAAAAACAGCTACAGAATGTGTATTTTATGTGATGCCAACACTGGATATGGCTCAGCATACACAACAGGTAAAATACCTGTTGCACTGGTATTCTGCCATACCCAGAGCAGTGACATCACAGAAAACATTATTAAAAAATAAATATATAAATATAAAAAAATAAATATAACTGAAAGAGTGAATAGTACAACGACTTTTAACGAAATAATGTATTTTAATATGTTTATTTTGACATTTAAAAGATACGTTTTGATATATAAAAAAATATCTTTAAGCAATATTTCTCAACTTGTATTATTTGATATTACTTTAAATCCAACTTATGATTTTAGAAAACACTATTTAAATGGTCTATTCGTACCATTTTTGCTTTGAATATGATTTTTAAGTAATTATTGACGTTTCTGATCCTCATACTTGTATATTAATTATTGATGAAATCACAAGACAATCACAAAAGCCTACTTTAACAATTTCAAACGGTAACATAAGGTCTACAATCTGCATGACTATCATCGTGCTATCATTATTTGCATAAGAAAAAGAACTGGGTTTTAATAATAATACATCTTAATATATATAAATCTCGTGTCACAATGTTTGTCCTCAATAGACTCCTAAACCACTGAACCGATTATAATAAAATTCGCACACCATGTGCAGTTCGATCCAACTTGAGAGATAGGATAGTTTAAATCTCAAATTATAGTCGCAATTTTAATTTATTGCAAATTATTACTTTTGGGCGGTACGAAGTTCGCCGAGTCAGCTAGTAATAAATAGATATTTCCAACACTCACACCAATTAGCCTAGCCCCAAAGTAAGCACTATAAGGCTTGTGTTATGGGATGCTAGGGTAACGGATAGAATACATATACTGTACATATATAAGTATATTTATATAGAAATACATATTAAACATCCAAGACTGGAGTACAAATGATCGTATTCATCACACAAACATCTGCCCCCACCGGGATTCGAACCCGGGACCTCTAGAGTCGGCGACACCATGAAACCCGACGTACGAATTGTTTATTTTGTTTATTTAGTAACAATGAGCTCGATGGCGCCAGTGGTAAGCGCGTTCGGCTGCGGTCGTTGAAGTTGAGCAACTTTCGCAGTGGTCGGTCATTGGATGGGTCACCAGAAATTTACTACCTCAAGCTCCTCCGTGCTCCAGTCGATAGCACCCACCAACCCGCACTGGGCCCGCGTGGTTGGTCATGGCCCAATCTCCCTAATCCATCCATAGGGAAGGCCTGTGCCCCAGCAGTGGGGTCATTAATAGGCTGATGATAAGTAACAATTAAAGCAAAAAATAAAATGTCACTCTTAAAGGAACATGACTATACGAAATGCAAAATTGCAAATGAATGACAACCTCTTTTCTACATATGATTGTGTAAAAATTGTACATAACTATACTTGGGTTAAAAAAATCCTTTACATTTTTGACTTCACAATCAATCGCGGTGTTTTTTAGTAATTTTAAATAGTTTACAATTAATTAAAAACTTTTTCGCTTCTTCCATTAATAAAACTTCCGATAAACTATGCAAAAAAAAATAAACGAAAAAAATCACATTACACCGATAAAGTATGCAAAAAAATAAAACAAAAAATGGGTGCGTGTACTTATGTAGGCGCGTGAGAAGTTATCCTTCTTTGGCATCGTTTAAAATTAGTTTTTAATTGCATGCAAATAATTAATTACAATAAATTAATAAAAAGTCTGGAAAAGGACACAGTCAATAAAGTTCAGTTTTAATTTGAAAAAATAAATAAATAATCAAAATATTCAATTAAAATCGCTACTGAATATAATTTATTAGAACATATGTGATTTGCACTTGTATGAAACCCAAACACGTATTCCGAATATACAAACTAGAAACATGTGGATAAATATTATAAATATGAATACCTATAACTGTTACTTTATTACAAAAAATAAAGATGTGGTTTTTGGTTCTACTAATAGAGATTCTATTTCTATTTTGTTGGTAGATTTTCTTAATGTGCGGTAAACACAAAAGTAACGGCATGAAGTTGGTCGCTTTAGCGACCAACTTCATGCTGTTAATATTTTGTGTTACAGTGATGCGCGCGCATCTTAAAATTTCACTCTCATCATTTTTTCATAACGCGCCTAAAGAAGTATAACTTCAAGAAATACGTTACTGAGTTATATACAGTGTAATTGAAAATGGTATAACACTATCAAAAGAACGTCACGACAACGAATACCACCCTCACGCTGAACCTTATTTACATTGAAATGTAAAGAAAAAAACTGTCGCATCAAATCGATACCCTTTCGGTAAACAGTCGAATCAATTGCCGAGACAGACCATCAATCTGGGAAAACGCAAGTCATGCCTTCTGCCTTACTTTCCTCGAGTAAACGCAAACTTAAATTTGACACTGGCACGCCAAAATCACACGTATCCCACACCATTTAGAGTTCCCATAAGAGCAAACGTTACATTTGTCCCCAATGTCCCATAGTTCCGATGTCGTCTGATTCAGCGAAATAGCCTGCGATAGAACAGACGGATTGGAAAATATTTTGTTCCTTGCGGATGATTTGTGACAGGGAACCCTTGTGAATCTGGGCAGGATCATCCTTCTTAATAAGTGAGATGATCGGTGAAACGAATTTAAATGACACAAGTATGAAAATATTAACCGAACCATTAAGATAATTTTTCATGAAAATAGATATTGATATGTTTTCATTAAATTAAGATTTTTTTCATTCTACTTTTACCGCTCACTTTCCACCTATATAATTAATGAGTTATTCAATATGAATATAAAATTATAATATTGTGTATGAAACATAAAATTTAGAATATTAAATGATATCAAATTGTATTAGTTTAATAAATCTGGAAATGGTTAAAAGACGTGTTAATTTTAATAAACTTTACGATAAAAATTTACAGAATCTGGATGAATTAAAAATACTTTCCGACAGAAAAGTCTGTTTTGAACAGATTAAAAAACATTTAAAACTAGTTTAAAATAAAAAGTACTAATAATGTGTATTTCCTACGTTTATTTAAATTAATAAAAAACCGATTACACGTAATAATAACCTGACTATTTTTTAATTTAAAGCTACACATATTGAAGTTTGACTTTAAGTAGCAAGTATTTTTCGAACGCAGTCTACTGGACGCCAAAAGGATAATGATAAGACATTCTAGCTACTTCAGTCGGCACGTAATGCAAGTCTTGATAAGCCTTCACCATCATCTGTTGATTCACCACTGTGAAAGGCCTAGGGGATATGCTCTCTATGGATGGCAAAGGTCTTAAATCCAAATTTGGCAAGGTATCCTCTTTGGGCCTCATCGGAGCAGACACAAACGTAGCCTGAGATATAGATGGCACTGTGTAACTTATCATGTTGTTATAGACGAACTGATCTGAATAACTCAATGGTATCTGGTAACTTGTATCTGGACGAGGCTCCACTTCCAAGAATGTCTCTCGAGTAGAATACACAGGGTTTGCGTAGGGCGCTGACTCCAAACGGTTCTTCCTCCTTGGCCGGTACTTATAATCCGGATAGTCCTGCATGTGTTTTATTCTTAGCCTCTTCGCTTCATCTATAAAAGGTCTCTTCTCGGATTCATTCAAACTCTTCCACTCTAAGCCTAACCTTTTCGATATTTCCGAGTTGTGCAATTTCGGGTTCATCGTTGATATTTTCTTCCGTTGCAACCGCGACCAAACCATGAAGGCGTTCATTGGTCTCTTTATGTGGAACGGGTTTGATTTCAACTTTGTTGTCGGTTTCACTGGCACTGGGGTCTCTATGTACGCCATTGGTTAAAACACTGCACTTCTCATTTAGATTCTGCTTCGTCTTTTGTTTTTCTTAAATCGTGCACTCACACAAACGAAAATAAGTAACTTGAACCTTCGTCTTGCGCTGGACAGTCGCACGATATACACAAGCTTTAAGGTCAAAAGTCGCTGGAGTGACAGCCAGGCATGCACTGATGACCAGTTTCGAAGCCAACTAAACCTGAATGCTGTCATTAGGGCAACAATGGCACGACAACAATTGGGATGACAATTTTCCATGTATTATTCGCCGCTGAATAAAGAGCGGCGACAATGCACTGATTGCTCACAAATTGTCAAATGATACTTGTGTATGTTTTGTAAGCGGCGCGCCTGCGCACTGATCTATTAAAAGATCAGCTTAGATGTTTGGATGAAGTAGGGTCAGAAAAATCGTAAGAAGATTTCAAACGTAAGAAGACAAAAGATTTTTTGCCTTTTTATCTAACTTACGTAAACAAAAATTGAAGTATTTATATTTTATAGCATTACCGGGCATTGCTAAACAATTGGACGTAGTTACGCGAAAACGTTCCAACCCACAGCGACCCCATTTTGAGATAAACGCAATTTTGTGTTTTAGCGGTACACTTTTTCCCTGTAATTATTTCAGGCAAATACTATTGGTGTTACTGTGGAATGCCAAATTGGTTATTGAATGATATGCATATTTTTTGTAAATACATAATACAAGGGGCATATAAATAGGTAAAACGAGTTTGAAACGTTTTCGCTAAATTTAATTTTGTATGAACCTTGTTAAATAGCAATTATGCATAAACGTTCCAGAACGAATTTAAGTGTATTATTTTATAAATATATCTAAAATAAATATGTAAAATAATAAATAACAATGAGGAACATACAAAAACAACAAAAAATTGAAAATGTATTACAAAAAAAATAGAACGTGATCTTTTGAGCTTTGAACCTATGCCAATTTGCTGATATGGTTCCAAAAGTTATCAAAAACTTATATTATAAACATTCAATTTTCATCATCGTATTCTATGATCTCGAAGTCCGGAACTCCACCAAACCCATCAACATCATCAGTGCTTCTTCAGAACAGAAGGCAATCCACTTCCTGTGCACCTCTTCCTACCTCTCCTTCTACCAATACATAACAATGCCCAGTATCATTAGATGCACTATGGATACCACTATTGTAGAACTAAGTAAAAAAGTTAAACCTCTTCAAGTTTACAAAATGACAAAGACTGATTTTATAGTACAACTAAACTGGAAAAGAAGATTATCAATAGGAAGAAGTTTACAGACTCATCTAAAGTTAGTTGGCTACATACAAAAGAAATTAAGTTGGATAAAGATATGATTTTTTCTATTTTTATGCGGTCTACGATGGAAGACGATTTCAATGAGTTGAAAATTGATAAAAGAATAAAACGAGAACTGCAATACATAAAAGAATCTGATTTTTGCTTATTGTGGCCTAACGACAAACCGATTGCTCCAGCGAAATTAGTGGACTTACAATCCATGTACCACTACATACCCGAGGATTGCCTTCAATTTTATAGAACGCTTCAAAGTTCTGAAGAAGCACTGATGATGTTGATGGGTTTGGTGGAGTTCCGGACTTCGAGATCATAGAATACGATGATGAAAATTGAATGTTTATAATATAAGTTTTTGATAACTTTTGGAACCATATCAGCAAATTTTTGGCATAGGTTCTAAACTCAAAAGATCACGTTCTATTTTTTTGTAATACATTTTCAAATTTTTTTTTTGTTGTTTTTGTATGTTCCTCATTGTTATTTATTATTTTACATATTTCTTTTTGGTTTATTTTTATAAAATAATACACTTAAATTCGTTTTGGAAAGTTTATGCATAATTGCTATTTAACAAGGTTCATACAAAATTAATTTAGCAAAAACATTTCAAACTCGTTTTACCTATTTATATGCCCCTTGTATTATGTATTTACAAAAAATATGCATATCATTCAATAATCAGTTTGGCATTCCATAGTTAAACCAATAGTATTTGCCTGAAATAATTACAGGGGAAAAGTGTGTAAATTGCGTTTATCTCAAATTGGGGTTGCTGTGGGTTGGATCATTTTCTCGTTACTACGTCCAAATATACCATAGTTATTTATTTTGGTAAAAAATATCTTTTTCTCTAGAACATACTTAATAGCAAAAATGGATCAAGTATATGTGGATTGTTTATAGCAAAAAATTAGAAAATAATATATTATAATAAAAGGTTTCAATTTATTTAGAACAGTGTTCGCAGCTTAAAAAAACAGTATGGATTAATCTAAAAGGTTTCAAATTACATGGAACATTTTTGCAGAAATAAAAAATGTATAAAGATTTTGCAAAAACGTTCCAACCCACATGGATCATTTAAGAAACCATTAAATGTGCGTTTTATGAATTTAGTATAATGTTCCAAGACAAGTGGAACATTATAACGATATGTTATTCTATTAAGAGTTTTTAACAATATGTTTCAGTATGCATGTAATGTTTTTACTTTATTTTGAGTACACGTCCTTGGCATAATGGTGGGTTGGAACATTTGGGTTAAACTTTATTGATGAAACTAACCTAAAAATACTAGCATCTTTGTGTGCACATGATGTAATATGTCAAAAATAGTACCCTGGTTATGGTAACTCATTTTCGAGTGACTTGTGGGTTGGAACGTTTTCGCGTAACTACGTCCAATTTATTTTACGATCTAGATGAAAATTAAATTCCATAAAGATATACCTAGTTTCACATCAACGTTAGAATAATATATTCAAAATTAATAGATATTGTTTAACAATTATTTTCTTTAATTGTGCACTCCCGTTTCTAAGATTATCTTACCGGGATGTCTAGATGATCTTTCTATTCGATCAAACATTAACTGTTTTTTTTTAATTTTTTTAGAGTCTTTTACCCAATATTATTGGATATTGTCTGAAAATAATTGACATGGTTAGAAAACGGGGAAAGCCGTATTCTATATACGGCTTTAAAAAAACAATATATAAAAAATATATATTTCTATAAAAATATTAAAGATATGCCAGACCCGGACGGATTGTAAGCAGGGGGCCAATCGCCTAACGGAAATGCTTTGGAAAACGCTAACGCTTACGATTTTATTTTTTTATTTCTAGCCGCCTGAGGTATTCAAATGCCTCGCGCTCTTTCTTTTTCTTTTGCATTGGTAATAACAATATTAAAAAAAATGAGCATGAGGTATTCGAAAACCTCAGGGGGCTAGAAATAACAATATAAAATCATAAGCATTAGCGTTTCCCAAAGCATTTTCGTTAGGCGATTGGCCCCCAGGACCTATATACATATAGTTATTGATGATATTAATTCGTTGTAGTTGGTTATTACAAACAAGTAGATAAATGTAAGCTTGAGACGAAGTCCATAGTCACGAGATTGTAAAACCCAATTCCGCACGATTGACATACAACGTTTTTCGACACATTTCCAAAAAATCAGTACCCGTTATTCAACACATTTGTGAAAACAATTTAAGTAAACTGTTTCTAATAAGAACATGGCGCGCATTTCCTAATGGTACATAATATGGATAATCTAAATAAAAAACCGCAAAGGATACGCACGGCGGCGCCATGTATCGAAGCGTACGGTAAAATGTTTTAACGCACGGTCCGTTGGATGACCCTTAATTTTGAGTTTTCGAACATCGTAAATAACCTCCGTAAATTCTTTTTTGATCAAATATATTTCCTAACGTTTAAAATATCTTTCTGTCAGTATAGTTTACATTTATCCGCTAATCCATCACTATTATGGAGGCAATAGTTCAATACTGATACTAGTACTGTAGTAGCTACATTGTTATCAACTAGAATGGCAAGGTGTGGCCAACTGTCCTACAATATCCTTTGGTAAGTACTGCTTCAATACAACAGTTTGTTTCACTTTGTTTGTAGTTACATGTCTTTACGAGGAGCTCGATGGCGCAGGTGGTTAGCGTTGTCCCCACTGCTGGAGCACAGGCCTTGGATATGTATGTATTAGGGAGATTGGGCCATGACCCCCTCAAAAATAAGTTGAAAAATGAACTTTAGCTCGAACGATCTAATTTCAAGATGAGTAAACAATTTTTAATAATATTACATGCGTACATTAATCTATTCTCAAAGAAGCTGTAATCATCATCATCATCAGCCTATTAATGTCCCCACTGCTGGGGCACAGGCCTTCCCTATGGATGGAATAGGGAGATTGGGCCATGACCCACCACGCGGGCCAAGTGCAGATTGGCGGCTGCTAACGACTTCAGTTGCAGCCGGGACCAACGGCTTAAAGTGGCTTCAGAAGCACGGAGGAGCTCGACATAGAAGATTTTTGGTCACCCATCCAATGACCGACCGCTGGGAAAGTTGCTTAACTTCAACAATCGCAGCTGAACGCGCTAACCACCGGCGCTATCGAGCTCCTCAAGGGTGCTTTCAGAGTGCTTCCTGACTACGCTATAGTATTGAGCTATATAGGTAGGGTAAAACAACCAGAATATAACAATCAACTGGTTATTGATATTTGGGAAAACTGTTAGTTACTTATCAGGTATTCTGCTGCGTTCCTAATCTCGTTTAGGGCGAACAACTTTCTAGGCAAAACCTCAATTCAAACTCAAAATCATTTATTCAATCTAGGCTGTTACAAGCTCTTATGAACGTTAACTTTATGCCATCTGTTCCCAAATCTACGGCGGTATATCTTGTACTGAGAAGAACCGGCAAGAAACTCAGCAAGGGTTATTTTTTCCCCCTGTTTTATTTCATACAGTGTCATTAATTGAAAAATGACATCAAACCTTGAAAACATGTACATGAATGTAATTAAGGTGTAAAACCCTAATTGGCATCTCGCAATTTTTTTCTGTAAAATTTATTAATATATAAATACATAATTTAGAATTAGAAAAAAAATCAATGAACAAATTATGGCACTTTTCCCCAGTGCTTAGCCTCATTTTTCCACAAGTCAGTCATGGCTAACCCCAGAAGTCAGCTTCTCCCTATCTATTTAAATAAAACTCAAAGGTGACTGACTGATATAGTGATCTATCAACGCACAGCCCAAACCACTGGACGGATCGGACTGAAATTTGCCTTGCAGGTAGATGTTATGACGTAGGCATCCGCTAAGAAAGGATTTTGATCAATTCTACCCCCAAGGGGATAAAATAGGGAATGAAAGTTTGTGTGAAACTTTGTCAATTTTAAACCGATTGGGCTGAGACTTTGCATGCAGGTATAA